AGTTGGCATCTCTCACCTCTCAGCTCACCTGAGTTCCTAAGAGAACCAGGCAGGTGTGTGTGTCACAAGACAGATGCAGTAGGATCTGGGTGCTCAGAGAATGTGATGCTGCCTGCTCTGTCTGGGAGAAACTCAACTTTCTCACATGGGAAATGAGCAGCAGCGCTTGGTTGTGGACAGACACAGGACATGTAGTCGCAGGTCTCCCGTTGCCTCTCCGGGTTTGTTGCTGACCAGGTGACTGCCTGACTGACCTCGGGACATGTGCGTGCCGAGTCCCTTCCAGCGGCACAGTCCTACACTGCCCAGCTGAGGTGTGTTTTCTCTGAGACTTCACTTCTCAAGGATATCCTGGGATGGGTCATGAGGGGTACCAGGTGTTAGAGCAGAAACGACGCAGGGAGACCAGGAGCAAGTCCAGCGGTCAGTGCGGTAGTCAAAGTGGGGGGCCTTGAGATGAAAGCAGTTCTGCTTAGGTGTTTGATGGTGACTGACTGACTCAGTGACCCAGTAACTGGTGGAGCAGTTCCAAGAAATGATGTAGAAGAAGGGAGTGGGACAGGAGGGAGCTGCTGGCTTTGGAGCAGCACCACGTTCTCTGTCCTTGGTCTCTAATGTCCCTTCTCCCACTGCACAGGTGAGGACCATGTGGATCTTTCCTGAAATACATGTGGACATTTGCAAAAGCAGAAGAACTGACTGGTGGAAAGGGGGGAGCATGAACTTCCTGAAAATCTGTCCTCATGACCCATGCGTGTTTGGTGGATATGACATAGAATACTGAGGAACAGTTAAAGTTCTTTCATATATGAAAACTGTTATTAATACCCCAGATCTCGGGCCAGTTCCTGAAAGAGAAACTGAGGCAAAGGAAATGCAGTCACAGAATCAGAATCACAGAGACCACAGCTGGCAGATCACAGACAGGAGAGTTTTGTCTGCAGCCACAGCCCCATCTTCTCTTATTCTCAGGGGCCATCTCTTACTTTCAGGATAAGGTCTTAGACAAAGCTCTGAAGTCCAGCAGGATCACGTTATGATGAAAGGAAGAAGCTGAAGTTGGTTTGAAATCAGTGACTCCCTGGGTAGAGAGAGACCTGTGAGTCCTGTTAAAAGGACAGAACTTGTCAGGGGGGATGTCTTAGAAGCCGCACTCATATAAATAGAGGAATGAAACCAAATTACTAGAAATATTTGTCATGTTAGTAAACTGAGAAGAGTTCCATCTCACTAATTCCTGTGGAGAGTCAGGCAAACTGGGCAGGAGCCTGGCACAGCCATGTGAAAGGCTTTCTTCCTTTTCATTCGACCCCAGGAAACACAGATAGAGTTTGATCAAATTCGTCCAAATTGGGTAGAGTCTAAGTGAACCGACAGTGGCTCATGCATCTCACTGCTCAGGAGGACCCAGGTGACGGTATCCTGTGAGGACACAGGTGCGTGTGGAACAGGCAGTGAACCCACCAGACAGCACCGGTCTGGCCAGTTCTGCCTCGGGAAAGGGCCGGGAAGCATTGGAGGCACAGAAGCCCCCACCAGGATGAGGATGGAGTCCTGAATCAAATGGATGAAATGACCCCCGGGTGTCTGAGGGTTGCAGACCTGCTCTTCTGCCTTGACTCACTGAACAGTCGGTGTAGAGTAGATGGGGGAGTTGCTTGTCCTTGTCATGTGCCCTGTGTCATGTGTTGGCATCAGGAAGGAAAAGAGCCCTGGACAGGGACACAGTGGAAGCTCGTTCTCATGGTGACCTAGGGACACTGGCTCATGATAGAGCCTCTCAGGGGTGGCTGCTTCGACTGATTTCTGTGTCCTTTACTGTTGCCTGGGAGGGTGGCCCTGGCCACAGGTGAAGTGGGAAGGAAAGAGGACAGCTCGTTAGTGGGAGTGTCTGGGGAAGGCTTCAGTGTGGAGGAAGCTGTGCAGGGCAAGGGCTAGAATGAAGGGGAGGAATATATCCTAGAGAGACATGGAGGAGGAGAGAGAGCTAGAAACACCCACAGAAGTGAGCAGTGACGGGTACAGTGACCTCAAAGACCCCAGGAGAAAGAGTCCATGGCTGTCCCAGAAGCAGGGCAGTGAGCCCTGAAAACCCTTCCATGGCCAAGTAGCCCCAGAGTCACATAAGACCCAGCTCCTGGGGTGGCTTTAGGAGCAGGTGGTCAGAGAGGAACATGGGTCTCAAAGCCCGGAGCGACAAGGAACAGGTGTGGCCAGAACCTCCCCGGACTCTGCATCCAGATGCCCGTCCTTGAAGCAATCATGGATCGCTCATCCATCCCCGCCCTCTTTCAGGGAAGAGCTACTGAGAGTTTGTCACTCTCTCCATTTGCTGGGCCCTGTGCTTGAGCAGGGTGTGGAGTGGAGAGTGAGAAAGCAAAGACCTTTCCTTTGTCCTCCAATGGGAGTGACATCAGCACATCAGGAAACATACAGATGATCTGCGGTCCGGGGAGGGAGGGTGCGGGTCAGCCACCTGATGGGGAGGCCTAGACAATCCTGACACTGACTCTGATTGTGGGGGCAGGTAATTTAGTTCTAGAGTAAAAGCGGATTAATCCTTCATTTACTCTCACTCCCCGGACCAGAATCTCTCTGTGTGAGCTGCCACTGCCTAAGAAGAAAGGACCTGAACCAACAGCTAGTGACAGTCACGGTCCATAGATGCTTCATAGGGCCCCTGAGAGTAAGAGAAGATGGGGCTGTGGCTGCAGACAAAACTCTCCTGTTTGTGATCTGCCAGCTGTGGTCTCTGTGATTCTGATTCGGTGACTGCATTTCCTTTGCCTCCGTTTGTCTTTAATAAAACAGGATAAATGATAAAGGGTATCTGGCTTGTCATGTTGTCTGTGAATTAACCTGAAAATATTAACAATTGCCTGACTTAAACCTTGGCACAGAGGAGCAACCTGAGTAAATAACACCGATAATTATTTGCCTTCAAGAGATGGTTCCCAGGGCCTGATCCCTGGTACAGGGAACTGCCAGGAGTACCTGTTCTGTTCCTCCCCCTGGGGACACTGACCTTCCTATAGAGTTTCCTAAATTCCCAAGGGCAGTTGGATGGTGACCCAGGGAACTTGTCCATTGTGCTCTGCATGTGGAGTCCCAGAGGAAGGACTAGGCTCTGCCTTGCCCAGATGTGGCTCCTGAGGCTGAGCCCTGGCTGGTGACCAGCTCCAGGAGCCTTGGCACTCAGGCAGCGGGTAAATCATTGCTCCCAGTCAGCCCTGTCCAGGAGGCCAAGGCTCAGCCCTGTCCACAGGCTCCCCGGGGTCACTTGGAGTCAGGAGTTCCGGGACAGGGTTCTGAGGTAGGGGCTTCCCAGGGCTGAGCATCTCTGTGAGGATCCTAGTGGGACCCTCAGGGAGGGACTTGACTGAGTCCTTCAGGGTCTTCTTCAGGGTCATGTTTTCAGGGAGGGGCCAGTAGGGCTGGACTGAGACTGGTTTCCCTCTGCTGAGTTACCCCATCAAACCGTCCTTCTCTCTGCAGCCAATGTCTGCAGGGTCTGGATTTAAGACAGGAATTCTGATCTTTTGAAGTTTGTCTCCACAGTGTGTGTCCTGCACTAAATGTTCAAACCCCAACATGGGACATAAGGCAGAGGAGAATGTAGGGACACTCTAGGCCTGACAGTCCTGTGTGTGTGAAGTAGAATTGATCCCACCCCGATACCCAGAGATGTAGAGGAATCACTTACGATATACTTGGAACTGTCCAGATACTTGATCAGTGTTGAAATTTGCATCTATGATTTGTAGTGTGTAGTATCCTGTGTCCTCCAGGGAGACATTCTGGAACAGCAGAGATCCATTGAGGAATAATGTCTCTCGACCACTGTTTGCAGGCCCTGGGGTATTTACTTGAGTGCCTGTTACATATGACACAATGCGTTGGTTGCTGGACACTCCTTGCCCTTTGTACCAGTGATAGGCTTGAAGATTCTCTGGCAGATTGTGGACAAGTAGAAGAACATCCTTCCCTTTGGCAGCATTGAACGGCACAGATTCCATAGTGAGCTGGGCAGTGGTGGGTCGATTCCAGAAAGTTACAAGTGAGGCTAGGAGGGAAGAGAAAGATAAATCAACCAATCAGGACCTGGATGCTGGGATGGAAAGATGGGGCGCTGGGTCCTGAGCAGGTCTCTTCAACCCTCGGCCTTGGTGTGTGTATGTTTGTGTGTGTGTGTGTGGGTCTAGGTCAGGGTCAGCAGCGTGACCTCCATTCCTTCAGAGCCTCTGAACTTGTCCTTCCCTCTGTTTGGAACACTCTTCCCCAGTGTCTGCAGGGATCACCCCTCACTGCCCTCAGACCCCTGCTCATATTCAGGGCGTCCTTGGGAGACAACTTCCCTGACCTCCTCCTCTAGGGTCACTTTCTGACCCTTCTCTGCCCTGTTCCCTCCATGGCTCTTGTCAACCCCTGACCTCACCTTCTAGATCTCTTTGCTTGTCTGTCTTCCTCCCCACTACAGGGTGAGCTCCGTGAGGGCAGGGCCTTGTGTGATCTTTGTTGTACCCAGTGCTGGGAACAGGCTGCAGATACCTGTGGATGAACTGATGAGTGTTCCCGTGGTCCTGTAAATCCTGGTGTTTGTCAAT